GTAACGAGTATAGTTATTACCCTCCTCAAAAATTATTTTCTTCTTGCATGACTCTGGAAATACAGTTGTATGTATGTCTTCTATTTATGCGTGAAACCACAAAGTACAGCCCTTATTGTAGCCATGTGGACAGGGTATCATGGGCTGTGCATCACACCCGTTAAACATCTGGAGATATGCCCTGAAATTTTCTGTAACCCGGATTTTCTCCACAGAGCTTCTGAAATTCCTCTTGGTGTTGAAATTCCAAAGCTGTCAACCATATCAAGAGACTCTCTGACTTCCTCCTAACTTATGGTTTTTCCTTTGTGTGTGGTTTTGCCTGTGGCCACCAGTATAAGAAGGTAATGTTAGGAAACACACAGGGGACTGTAGTAGAGGGACTACAAAACAGCAACAAAGGAGGCAAGTTTGCATTTGGCTGACCTTAGGTGCAACCTGGAAAACTTTTCCAATTGTTTCAGAAAGAATAGGAAAAAGAACAAAGAACGCATATCCTTGTAAAGTCTTGTAAAGCTACCAAAAGAAGTGAAGGAAAAACATGGGCCTTGCTTCTTCCTTCCCTCTTTCCCCTTCCTGTTTTTCTTAATTTGAATTAAGCTGCCTGCTGAATCGTTGCTGTCAAGTTTTGATTACTGTGTGTATCACTGGCCTATAAAAGCTGGGCAACGGTTTCACAGTAGGGTGAAACTGTCATCTCTAACTGACGTAAGCAGCATGAGCTTTTTGCTATTAAGGCCTCTAGGCAATCTGTGCAATCCAGTTTATGATTGTGATATCTGAGGAAAAAAAACTCCATTATGTTCTCCTGAAATCTTTGTAAGATTGAGCCTCTGAATAGGACTTTCAGCAAAGGTTGGGAAGTTAATTTCCATAGTTTTGTAGTTGTTTTCAGATCTAGATGCCTTATTCATGTAAAAATTAATAAGATTTGGGCTACCAGAGACCTCAAAACCTTTAGAATTTATTAGAAGTTATCTTTTTTTAACATGACCTTTCAAATCAAAGTGCAAAAAAAAATTTTACCAGGACATTTTCAGTAGTTTTCACAATGTCATGATGGGTTTGGAGCAAACATGGGAAAAACGTTTAGGCATTGCGTATTGCGTACTTAAAGACCCTTGTATTCTAGTGTGATCACCATAGTAAGAAAACTTAGGTGCAGTAAAATAGTCATTCAAAAGCTTATTAAGTTCAATGACAGCTACCATTTATATTTTGTTTTTTCGTTATGAAACACTGCTGTCTAATTTTAGGTGATTTCTCTATTACAATAAATCAGAAAGGGGTAGATGATGAAATCTAATGTATCCAACAAAATGAAGCAAACTCTCCGTAACAGAAAACAAAGGATTACTATGTTTAAGGAGCTGTGAATATGCTTTTAAGTGGCCTATATTGCAAATAAACATGAAGTTTGGCTTCAGAAAGAGTATTGAAAAGACTATGTGAATAAATAATCTGATACAGGCCATCTGAGAATGAGTAATTTGTTAAATATGAGTTTATTTAACAACAGTTGATTATTTGTATGTGGTCAAAAATGGTATCGTTTCTCTGCTACATTTTATGGTCCTACTTTGGTGTAGCCTTTTGCCACTATCAGATAACAGATACTAGTGTTATGTTTTAGCATCTAGATTATGATGGTTAGAATACTCTTCTAAAAACATAAATATATAACTTGTGCATAGCTAGCTTAAATAGTGAGTTAAAACCTTTCGTATGTTACGTAATTAATAAATGGCATTAGGGATTTTGATCACGTGCATTTGTCAAACAGTTCTGCTGTGTGGGAAGATACAGTTAATGTATGAGGAAGGCCTATCTTTTAGCCTTAATTTCATGAATAAATCTTACTGCGCAGTGCTCCAGACTGATGTGTGCTAGGAACAGAAGTCCACACAGGTTCTTATACCTGTTGCAATAGTGAAGATAGACTCTTGAGGAGTAAATCTTGGGAGATGGATCTGCTGGGCTATCCCATTGTACATGTTTTTGCTTTTAAAATGCTAAGACTAAACAGATTCCTTTCCAAACAGTGTATTTTTTTTTTTTTTTAACTGGGAAAGGTTTGCTTCTGTGCAGTATAGGTTATAATTGTTCCCAATACACAGTGAACATCAAATTGTTTCATGAATTAAGCATCCTGATAATGAAAGATGCTGTGACACTGGTGATTGTATGAGCTTCCTCTGGGAAGTGACTGCAGATTCTCAGTGCTGTTGACAGTAGACCTCAAAACCCTACAGAAAAGAAGGGTCTTTTATGAAAACTAGGCAATGAAGTTAAAGCTTGCTGGACGTATATAACCTTTGCATATGAAAGCTTTGGGCAGCTGGAACTCTCATAACCCAAAGATTAAACTATTTTGGATACTGTTACGAACCCTCAAAGGTTAATTCATCTTCGGTCCAGACTAGAAGCAGTAAAGTCAGTGCAGGTGAAGTTATGGGGCTACCTGTATAGACTTCCGTCAAAGTTTTAGAGAAGCACAGAAATACTGTAGTTGAATGCTTGATCTTGACAAGTGGTGAAATCCTGTGAACTATTACATGTATTATTGAGCATGACTCTCATTCTCAGATTGCTCATCTTTTACTGGTTTTTAGGAGGTTGTAGTAAAACACGTGCCAGTTTCAGGATGCCACGTCCCATTTTTTTCTGGTGTTCTTGACAGATATAGTGGTAAGAACAGGCAGAAAAACATCACATTGTAGGAGACCTTTTCTACACAGATAGAAGGCTGATTTGCTACAGTACAATTTCAGCAGTTAGCCAGTGCCAGTTGTCGTGTATATGGCAGACGTAGATTTGCTGTGATGTGTTTTCCTTGGGAATGCAGTTTATCAGAAATCATAGTATCTTTGAATAATGCATTTTTTCTGGATAGTACACCCACTCATAAAAATAAATGCTGAATTTTGAGTTGTATAAATATTGCTGCATACACCAGATCTTATGATGAAACTACTTCATATTACAGTGTTTTGTAAAAACGTTTTGATTTGAAAATAGCAGAGAGATTCTTGTTGCAAATGCAGGTATTCTCCTGTGTCAAAGCATGTAATAATTTTTTATTTGTTTGACTTCTTTTGCAAAATTACCTGTATTAACCTACCATGACTAAAATTGCAAAAAGGGGAAAATTTGCCAGGAGAGAGGTAACATGTTTAACAGTGCTATAAAACATATGATAGCATACAATAATATATGCTGTAGCATATGATGGATCATTGTTGCCAACTTTTTGGAATGTAAATTACTATCTTTTTTTTTTATTTTAGTTACTGCGGTGTCTTAAAATCAGTTTATTTTATATGTATTCATTCTCATATATGTGAATCAAACAATGACTCTATCCAGTGTGAATAAGTACATCTGAATAAATATCCTGGAATTCTATTAAGGCTGCTGAAACAGCACAAAAGAAGTCGGGTATCATATTGTTTGCTTCTGGCTTTGGTAGCTACTCACTCAGCAACCTTAAATATTTCCTGTCATGCATGGAAATGTTACATCTCTGATCTGCAACATGGGTAGAGCATTTATCTCACTCATCATTCATTACAGTGTTATGTGGCTTTTGTGACCTTGTTAATATTTGTAGAAGATTTGGGGATTTTTATCATAAAAGGTTGTTGTAAGTAGAAGCGGTCTCTCTTCTAATTTTTTAGCTTTATTGTTTTTGACCTTTTCAAAAATTTCCTATATAATTTGGGTTGTAACTTAAGTGTAATTGTGATCATTTAAATGCCAGTGTGACTCACTGTTTGAGTGATGAATTAAGGGTGTGCATTCAATAATTGAACTTACATGGTATAATGGGGCTTAATTAGCATTGATATATTGATATAATGCTTTACAACACTCTGAGGATGTGCACGTATTGAGTAATTAATCCTCTCAGTATTCAGGTTAGTGAGGTTAGTATGGTTATGTTTATTCTGCAGATGGGTGGAGTAAGGAAAGAGGGAAGTATGAAGTGAAAGAATTTGCCCGTGAAACATGCCATTTCTGAAACAATATGTGAATTGCACGCGAGCTTTTCAGACCACCATTTCTTCAATGAACACATTTATCTTTTGTGCTCTGTTCATGACATATTTTAGCTTCCTGCACTTATTTGTTCTGCTCTAAAGGAAATTAAACAATTTTAATTTGTGCTACTTCAATGAAAGGAATGGCATGCCATTAATAACTTTCAAATGAAATGGAGAACTAAAACAATTGCATTTTCTTCCTCCGCAACACACACTTTTCCTAGGTGGAGGAGTATCAGCTCTAAACTGATAACTAGTTAAGACCATCTCTTCCGAATAACTAATGCTTAGAAATGGTGGTAACTTTCTGCAGTAAAAAAGGAAATAAGTATATTCATTCGTATCAGGGCAAAGTCACTGCTTAGTCATTGTTTCCTTCATATTTTCTGCTTCTATTAACAAAGTTTGGCTTAATTTATTTTCTAGAACCAGGAGTAATTTGAAAATAAGCAGAAAATCAAACTTTTTTTAATACACTTTAGACTTTAATTTTCTGTCAGAGTTGAGTTAATTATTGGATTCTTTTAAATTGCTATTCTGTCAACTAAAATGAAAACTGTACATAAAGTGCCTTCTACTGCCTGGATCCGTAACAATGTTGTATGAATATTTTTGCAATATTTACAAAAAAAGAATGAAATAAAAACTTCTTCATTCAGAGTTTGGGGAGAAACAGCAAGTCTTATATGATCTTTTTTTTGAAAACAGATCTGTCAAGAACTTCACTGAAGGACTGTTAAATCAAGAACTGAGTTTGAAATTAGTGTTGAAAGTGATGATGTCTACTGTAAACTGAAATCTTTTGTGAAAGTACTTTTCATAGCCTAATTTTTCCTTATTTGTATAAGGAATACTGTTTTAAAAAATAATAATAAAACCAATTATTTAATCACAGTTGTTTGATGAGTCTTTATTACTTCATTTTAACTGTAACATTTTCCTTCTTTCTTTTGACAGTATTACCTAGTCATACTTGTGGCAGCCCAGGAGAAATATCTAAAGGAGTACTTCATGGAACAAGATTCAACATTGGGGATAAAATCCGATACAGCTGTATTTCTGGTTACATCCTAGAAGGCCATGCCATGTTGACATGTATTGTGAGTCCTGGAAATGGTGCATCATGGGATTTTCCAGTTCCTTTTTGCAGAGGTAAAAATGGAGACATGAAATGTCTTTAAATATTAAGATAATATTAAAACAGCATGTTAACTAAATTTACTTTGATTTTTTTTTTACTTTCTAATAATATAAATGTACTAATATACTGTCTAATAATCTACACCTTTTAATGCTGTAATCACATTTCAGAAGCAATGACTGTCCAGAGTTTACGTTCAGAGGTAGATGATCTTTTTTCCTTTTCATTTACATGGGGAGAACTATGGTAATTTGATGGCAGGACCTGGCAAATGCTTTTGCAAGTTTCTGGTTTGGAAACTTTCTGCCAGGAAGGAGAAGCCTGAAGTCTTCAACCATATAATCTCTGAAGGGGACCTCTGGTGGTCCAATAACTTTGAGTCCAGCTCCTGCTCAAAGCATGGATAAAGTTCACCATGACTCAGCTTGTGTTTCAAGATCATTTGTCAGAACTGTCACCTAGCAAATATTTTTTGCATGGAATGATCCTATTCCAGGTATAGAACTTCGCACTTCTGTTTTGGAATTTCATGAGATTCCTGTCTGCTCATTCTTCCAGCTTGTCAAAGCCTGTCTGAATGGCAGTGTTGCCCTTCAGAGTGCCATCTGCAAACCTTGTCAGGGTGCATTCAATCCCACAATCCAGACTCGTGGTGAAGATATTATATAAATTCGGCCCCAGTTGGAATCCTTGGGGAATGCTGCAAGTCACTAACCACTATCTTGACTTTAAACAATTGGCCTCTTCTGTCTGAGCCTGATGGTCCAGACAGTTTTTCACTAATGCCATAGTCCACCCATCCAGTCCATAAGACCTCGATTTGACTACAAGGATATAGTGAGGAACTCTATTGTGAAAACTTTGTTAACATCAAGCTAAACCCTTTCATCAAAGAAAGCAGTCAGGTAGGCAAGGGTGATTTGCATTGGTAAAAGCTGACTGTTCCTCTTCACCTTTTAGTCCTTTGTGTGCTTGGGAATGGTTTTCATAAACACTTTCGCCATAGTTTTGTAGAGGTCTGAGATGAACTTGACAGATACAAAGTTTCTAGGATCATTGCTTTTTTCGAAAATGAGAAATGAAAAACCATCTTTTTATCCAGTCATTGGGAATCACCCTTGAATGTCATAGCCTTTCAAAGGTAATACAGAGCAGCCTCGCACTGTGGCACACGAAGAACCCTTAGGTGCATACCGTGAAGTGCCATGAACTTGCACGTGTCCTGTTTATTTCTGTAGTTCCTTGTATTTTTTCTCCTGTGCTGTGGCTACTACTTTTCTTCCCAAAACTTCTCCGTTTTATTGAGAATTGGGAGGCCTGAGGTCAGCCTTTGCTAATGAAGAGAGAAGCAAAGGGGACATTGAGTGCCTCAGCCTTTTCGATGTCTTCATCACAAGGTCACTTAATCCACTAAGCAGCAGGACACCGTGTCCTTCATTTTCCTTTTGTTGTTGATATACCTATAGAATGGTTTCTAAAATGACTGTTCTTCACATTCCTCACCAGTTTAATTCCATCTAAGCTTCAGCCTTCCTCCTTCTGTCCCTGCATTCCTGAGCAGCACTTCTGTATTCCTTTCAAGTAGTTTGTCCCTGCTTTCAATGGTTTGCTTTATTATTTTGCATTTCAGTTAAAGCACCTCAGTCAGGAATTTCCCGTTCAGCCTACTCATTTGTGTACATAAATAAATACATCATTTTTGAGCTTTGAGAAAGCTGCCTGTGAAGTCAGACAAGCTCTCCTGGGCCCCTTGACCCTTTAAGACATCAGCCCATAAGAATCTGTCTGCCACTTCACAAATAAGTTGATATCTGCTCTGCTGAAGTTCAAGGAGTTTATTCTACTGCTTGCCTTCCTCACGTCCCTCCGGATCTTCAGCTCATGGTTATTGTAACCACAGCTGCTGTTCAATATCACTTATTTGAATAATTCTTTGTTTCTACATCTAGTTGGCCTGTCCAGTGCCTGCGTGCAAAAAATTCTTTGCAGTGAACTCAGAAATCTAGTGGATTACTTGCCCTCTGCTATGCTGCCGTCCACACAGATGTTGGGATGGTTAAAGTCTCCCATGAGAACCAGAGCCTTTGGTTGGGAAAATTCTAGTTGTTCAGAGGTTTTGATCGCTTCTAGATCAGGTGGTCTGTAGCAGATACTCACCATAATGACCTCCCTCTTGGCTTCCTCTTCTCATTCTAGCCTGCAGGAGCTCAGTGAGCTTTTTGCCTCTTGTGCAACACAGCTCTGTTCATTCAAGATCTTAATTTGTGTAGGGTGCAGCCTCTCCTTTTCTTCCTGCTTTTCCTAAGAGCCTGGGTCTATCCACTGCAGCCCTCCAGTCAAGTGAGCTGTCCCCCTATGTCTCTATAAGCTTGATGACACCACAGTTCTGTGACTGTACATGCTCTACCAGTTTGTCCAGTTTGCTTCTCATGCAGCACACTTTTTTTTGTACAGGCACTTCAGCTGGGCTTCCAGTTATGTTGCTTTCTGAGGAGAAGGGAGAGAAACATTCATTGCCCTGTCCCACGTGTTCTTCCCTGGGCCTGTTCTCCTACTTACCTGTAGGTTTTGGTCTGCATCCCTGACAAACTTGGTTTAGAGCTCACTGGGTCAGCAAACCTGTTGCCCTGTACAGCCAAGCAGATCCCACGTCTCCCATGCTGCCCTCATTCGTTAAAGAGGATCCTGTGGTTGAAGAAGTCAAAGCCCTGTTGCCCAGCACCAGCTGCTTGGTCAAGTGTTGTCCTGAAGGAGTCTGATGCTCCCACCTGAGTTTTTCGCCTTGCATTAAGGAGAACCCCTCTGGTCTCCTGTGCTTTTCACCCTAATCCCAAGCCCTTTGCTGCTCACATTCTTCCTTGGCACTATTATTGGTACCCATGTGGATGAGCAACAGAGGATAGTTGTCTTCTGTAATAATTTTGAAAGGTTTCTTGTGACTGAAGGGTCTTGTAGTGTAATTCCTCACAGCAAAGAACTATTTTATAAATTTCTGTGCTCCAAAACAAATACAAGAGTTGCTAATCAAAAAACCAGCAGAGACCAGCAAGTCACATCTGTTGTTTGTATTTTATTTCAGTCAGTATGCAACCAAGAATTCTTTTACCAGAAGAAGAAAAAAAAAATTCTCTAACCTTTCAGTTGTCTGATCTTAGATAGGGTTTGTTTGTCCTTCTAATAAAAGGTAGTAGAGCAGTTCCAGAAAAATATACATTTCATAGGTTTATGGTGTCATCAGTGTCTACTAAATATTTGTACTGTTTCTGCAGATACTGCCCATTTTGACAGTGTTTGCTGCATACGAATATCTCTAACAGCTCTGAAATTTTGTTCATCATTTGTAATTCTGCGAATTTAGCCTATTAATGAAAACTCAGGCGGGGTTCTAAACCTTGTGTAGAATTTACGTGAAATCTGAAGAATTCTGTGTATCTTCTGACAAGAAATAAGAGCCATAGCATGAAAGTTATTTAACAGTCAATGATTTGTGTGCTGAGCCATTGCCTCAGTAGATTTTTTAGAGTTCATCTGGAATGTGGATTTGATGAGGGATTTTAGACCTTCCGTATTTTCTTTCATTTTATCAGTCTGGAACATAAGCCACGAGGTAGCCCATTCCATTCATTGTGTCTTCAAGCAAGAAATGTTCCCCTATTGTTTCTTGAACAACCTTGGTCTTTTCCACAAAGCACCTTTTATTACAGTTTTGTTTCCAGATAGTATTCTTCTTTCTTGTCATCGTAAACTAATTGCATGGTATCCATGCAAGATAATATAGCAGAGTGAAATAAATCTACATGGTTTACGTACTAAAAAATCATAATATCTTTGTTCTCTGTGGTATGTTTCCCTAGCTTTGCTGATGCTGGCAAATCACTGTTTTTGCAATTTGTTGCTTAATATTTTCAGAAGTATTAAGAAGCTGTTTTTCAATAATTAATACATTGTCTAACTGTAAAAATGCTGTTTCTGCTAGAAAAATTCCTAGTGAATTACTGAGCCCCCAGGAAGATGTAGACAGCATTGACTCTTGTGTCTGCCATTTTGTTTCTCTGGCTGCTACTCAGTTTCAGAGGTTCTCTTTTTAAACTATAGCCTCGTGGAGCATGGTGGAGCTGAACTGTGCTGCAGGTTCATTGATGGCTTGGAACGAACTCTGAACGGAAATCAAAGGTGCAATCAGTAGCGTTTTTAGAAAGTTTAGATAATTTGACTGTAAAGATATTTGCTATATCTTTTTTTTCTATTTTCTTTCAATAAACTATGATTTTTTGGTGTGTGAAAAATATGGCAATTTCCAAACTGAAAAAGGTAAAAAACAGTCCCCCCAAAACAGAAGACTCCCCCCAAAGAAAAGTTCAGAGCTTAATACTGAAAAGATGATGTAATTATTAAAACTTAGTCCTGTGTTTTCATATGTTAAGAACAGCCATGGATTTTTCTGCTATTAGAAGCTAACCAAGAAGTTTACCATGAGTTTTTGCAAAAAATTGTATAGGTGGCTTACAAAAATGAGAGAAACAATGGCCCACCAAAATTCCCTTTTTTTTCTTTTGTCCTGAGAATTAAAAAGGTCTTTGTTGTCTCAGTCTTGAGTACTGTAATAGTATCACCCAAAGCATTTGCCTTCTTTATCTGAATGTTGAAATACTGTGCAGTACAAGTCTGAAACATTTTGAAAGTTAATTTCATTCTCTGCAGTAACTCCACTAATAGCTGATTTATGATATGTGACTACTTCTAAATGAACTTTGTATAATTAGGTTCTCAATTCTCAGTAATTTTGAGAATCCCTAGTTGATTATAGTTGCATGAGTCTAAATTTTTATGAAGCTAACATTAGTAATACAAATTGGATTAGTGATATTACAATGGTAAGCTTTTTCTCACAATGAAATAGCTTTGAGGGGAAGAACAGGTAATATGTTGTCATTAAAAAGACACCAAGTTATTGGAGGGAAAATAAAGAATAAAAAAAGATAAACCAATAAAAGAGACCTTATGTCAGAAA